TTATGATTTCAACCAACGGCTTGGCTAAAATTAGTAATCAAATTCTATAGTTTAGCTAATTTGTAAAATAGAAAACTCCTTAAAAAGAAGAGTTCTACAACAGCCTTGTTATTTCTCATCTTTAGATAGCTAGCGCACATGATTGGCTTTATATGGTCATTTAAAATTAAGGGATAACCAGTTTTCTATTTTACAAAATCGGATAGCACATCTGTTGGAGCTTACCATTTGCTATACCAATTCTAAAATAGCTTATACCAATTCTAAAATAGCATTCAAAACAAGAATAGCCGAGCTGTTTGAGTTGCTCTAATAATAACTCTTTGGCAGTTGGAATAGTCCCTAGATCTAGGAATTATGACCTATTTGATTGAGGTTTTGAAGGTAAGACAAACGATAAATTTGGCAAGCGATCATTACCAATCTAGCTCGTTTTTTTACGGGAATTAACAATCTAGCTCTACTGCTCTAGGCAGCATGTATATCTATATCTATATTTCTTATAATACTAAACCTCACTAAAAATCTATCTCGACATGCAATCCGTCCATATACACATCCCACTAACACATACAATTATGACACACATCTATTCATACCAGCTATCCACGTTAGCAAACCACGCCACCCACTAACACACATTTATTTATCCACGTTAGCATACCACACAATCCACTAAATCGTTTTCGTAATATCCTGCAATAGCCTGCGGGGTATGCCTGTAGTTGTAATAATATATATAATCCACTACACACTATCGTCTTGCAAGTTGCAACAGATTGTGAAGCCATCAAACTACCCGCCTTATTGGCTAAGTCGATGTGCTTTTTGTTAATATAGAATATGCATTTCAGCCTCCTACAAACGATATTTAGATTTTTTTTAATCTGACATTTTCACGAACCCTCCTACAAACGATATTTAGCTTTTAACAACAAAAAACAAATAAACATGTCTGAAATTTGGGCATTATTCGGCATATCACTACTACATAAACGATTTTTGGGCATATAATTTTGGGCATTATATCCTTTGGGAAGCATATAAGCAAAGACTGGGATGCAGTGAATTCACCTCCATGGCATACAACCTAAGCTCCATTCTGACAGCCCACAACCTTGAACAACTTAATGCTGAATTCAGTCAGCAAGAAATTGATTTAGTCATCAGAAGCTTACCCAACGGTCATGCCCCAGGCCCAGATGGCTTCAATGGACTCTTCATCAAGAAATGCTGGGAAATCTTAAAGGGTGACTTCACTAGGTTGTTCAATGATTTTTTCACACCCAATATTGATCTGAGAAGCATAAACTCCTCCATCATTGCCCTTATCCCAAAGAAGGATAACCCTGAAACTGTTGATGACTTCAGGCCCATCTCCCTACTAAATTATACCCTAAAATGCATTACTAAGCTACTCTCAACTAGGCTGCAGTCTGTGATCTTGCAGTTGGTGCACCAAAACCAATATGGCTTCATAAAGGGTAGAACTATACAAGATTGTCTAGCCTGGGCATTCTAGTTCTTGCATCTCTGTCACAAATCAAAAAAGGAGATGATCATACTTAAACTGGATTTTTAAAAAGCCTTTGATAAGCTTGAACACCAGGTGATCCTAGATGTACTAAAGAACAAGGGCTTTTCAGAAAAATGGATTGGTTGGATACACAACATTCTAAGCACAGGTAGCTCTGCAGTTCTGTTAAATGGAATACATGGAAAATCCTTCAATTGTCTTATAGGGGTAAGGCAGGGTGATCCATCGTCACCTCTCCTCTTTGTTCTAGCAGCTGATTTGCTTCAGTCAGTGATTAACAAAGCTTGGCAGAATGGTGTTATTAAACACCCACTCAGTGACGACTTTGGAGGAGACTTTCCTATCATACAGTATGCTGATGACACATTGCTAATACTCCCATGTGATGGTAGAAGTCTTTTCAACTTAAAAGGACTCCTAAGGCCCTTTTCAGACTCTACTGGTCTACATGTGAACTTTGAAAAATCCTTCCTAGTTCCAATTAATATATCTGAAGATAGAGCTGTTCATCTTGCCAGGACATTTGGCTGCAAAGTTGGTACCATGCCTTTCACATACTTAGGCTTACCCCTGGGAACTACCAAACCAACCATTCAGGAATACTCACCACTTCTAAATAGAATTGAGAAAAGGCTATCTGGGGTAAGCAAGTTTCTATTCTTGTTAATTCAGTTTTCTCTGCCCTGCCCCCATTCTACATGTGCAGCCTCAAAATTCCTCCTCAAGTTATCAAACAAATTGATGTTTATAGAAAACATTGCCTTTGGAGAAGGGGACATAAATAGAAAAGGGACATGCCTAGTAGCATGGGAGACAACATGTAAACCCAAGGATCAAGGAGGACTAGGTATCATAGACATTAAAAGCCAAAATAATGCTCTACTGCTAAAATTCCTAGACAAGTTCTATAACAAAAATGAAGTTCCCTGGGTTCAGCTCACTTGGTCCAAGCTTTATGCCAACAATCAAACCCCACCCTACAGCAGGAGCCCTGTGGGATCCTTTTGGTGGAAAGAGATCATCAGTTTGTTTGGCAATTTTCAGACTATTGCAAGCTGCTGGCCAAACAAAGGTGACACCATCTCATTCTGGACACAACCATGGACAGGGCATGACCAGGTTCTTAAGGACCGGTACCCACAGCCGTACTCCTTCACCAGAAAACAGAAATGTTCACTGCAGTACTTGAACAAGTTATGAGTCGTGTTTTCAGTCTACCTCTCTCACAGCAAGCTGCTGATCAATTGATATGCATTGAAAATCATATACATGGTTCAAATATCAATGAAAATCACACTGACATTTAGAGTTATTGTTGGGGATCCACAAGATACAGTAGCAAGAAAGCATACATCAGATTACAAGGGTACACTGAAGCATCCCCCTATTCTCATGGCTTTGGGGTTCAAGCAACTTGGGCAAACATAAGTTTTTCTTCTAGCTTCTTCTTAGAGACAGGCTCAATACAAGAAACCTTTTGAGGAGGAAGAATATGTTTCTTGAAGATTATAGCTGTGTTCTTTGCACCACAGGGCATGAAGAAACACTCTTTCATCTGTTTTTTGAATGCCCGTTCAGTATATCCTGCTGGAACACCATTCCCGTCAGCTGGAACATGAATCTGCAGCCACTTGATATGGTTATAACAGCGAGGGAAGCCTTTGGAAGCTCCATCTTCAGGGAAATCATCATCACCTCCTATTGGGCGATCTGGCTGGTCAGAAATGGAGTAATCTTTGACAATGAGCAAGCTAATCTTAATACATGGAAGAGTAGATTCATAGAAGAACTGGGCTTTATGCGCACAAAGGCCAAACCAGCTAGACAAAACTTACTTAATTTGTGGAGAGATAATTTTATATAGTGTATTCCCTTTTTTCTCCTTTGGGCCTTGATGCCTTGTAATTTTGCTGAACCTGTACTATCCATTTTTTTATTTAATTGAAAACAAAAAAAATAGGTAGGGGACTCCCCTGCTGATTCGGTCAAAAAACTGAAACGATTTTTAGCAATGTCTCTATTTTTTGTGTAGGCTACTCTACAAAATCCGTCTCTAAAACTGGTATCCGAGCCAGGCCGTCTCCAAAAATCAATTTTTAAAGACGCTTGGCCTTTAAAAATGCCCTAGCTGCCTCTAAAAATACCATTTTAGGAACGGCTAGGCTTTTCAGCTACCTCCACAAATGGAGGCATTTCTTCTAGAAATGGCTAGGAATTCCAGTCGTCTCTATAAATGAATTTTTAAAGGTGGTTGGCAATTTAGTCCACCTCTAAAAATAGGTGTAACATTTCATAACTTTTTTTAGTCAAGTATCAAAAGAAACTTTATATCAAAGTTGTAGTATTCAAACGGATCTATAACATTGCAGTGATGACCATTTCATTTGAAATCATCTAAGTTTTGACTTTTTTGAGTTTCAAGTTTTCATAACTTAAAATTCATTTTTTAATTTTTTCTTAAAATGGTCTCGGATAAAGAAACTACATCCAATTATCAACAAACAGTTCTTGTTAATTATGTGCTTTTCATGTCTTCGCCTCTGCCTTTTAACTATTGTTTTATATTATAATTGTTATGAGATACCGATCAGTATGGTATATGTTGTTCGATCCAAATTAAATATTGATTACACTTAGCATATGTCCACCCTATCTGAAAATTTTAGTCTTGACTCGCCACTTAATACAGGTTTCGGTGCTTGTCTTAGTTCCTCCAATCCCAGTGCCATTTTACATGTCGACCGTATTTAGAAGAAAATTATCCGCGAGGCCAGGAAGTTTTCTAGCGTAGCAATTCATTTCGCTGGGAGGGGAAAAATAGTTATTTTAGTATCAAAACATAACAACAATTTTGTAGGAGTGGAAAACAAGAAAACACAAAAATCAAATATATGATCCTGTTTAGTTCTCAATGAGTTGAGAGGAATTGCTCATCAAATAATAAAACCAGAAAACACAAATTTCAAGTATAAAGTAATCTAATAATAAAATGGGACAGTTTCTAGATGTTAGTTTTAATTTATAGTAGAATCCAGCTGAACAATTTGAATGGAGTATAATTTATGTTTATGGTATCGAGGGAATTCGCTTAATAAAAAAGTTTAAAAAAACGGAGCGCTGTGTCTCGGGATGGCACGGCCGGCGCAGAGTACAACGTCTTGTTAAAATAAATAATTAATTAATTAAGCTGAAGGCAGTGCCGAGGATGGAGTCACGCAAGCAAATCAAATGGCAGGTGAGGATGACACACACTTGGCCTTCCCGGAGACGCAGCGCCGACCGCGCACACACTCTCGCCTAAGGAGTAGGACTCCACAAGGACCCAACACAGCGGTCAAACAAAGGCAGCGGCAGCCGGCAGGAGCGAGAGATCCGGCAGCGGCGTAACACCCCAAGTCACCTCCGCCTCGGCCTCCAAAGATCCCCGCTCCACCCCACCCCGAGGCTGAGCCGACCCGCGGTGATGTCGTCGGCGGTGCCCCCGCCGCCGCCCCAGCAGGAGGCCCCCTCCGCCGGCGGCGACAAGGTCCTGGCCGCGGCGCAGCACATCGTCAAGTCCCTCGCCACCTCCAAGAACGCCGCCGACGACATGATCCGCATACTCTCCGGCTTCGACAACCGCCTCTCCTCCATCACCAACGACCACCTCTTCCCCTCCCCAGACCTTTCCGCCGCCTCCGCGCCGGACTCCTCCGCCTCCGAGATCTCCGCCGCCGCCGCCTTCGACGCCGCCGACCAGCTCATCCAGCTCTGGGACGCCACCCCGGAGGCGCTCGTCTTCGAGGCCCCCGAGGACGACGTCGCGCAGTACCTCGCCGCCGTCGACGTCGCCATCGACCACCTCGCGCGCGGCGGCCCAGGGGGCGCGCGGGCCGGCGTCGCCGTCCAGCTCGCCATGGCGCGCCTCGAGGAGGAGCTGCGCCACCTCATGGTCCGCCACGCCGTCCCCATCGACCCCACGGGCCTCTTCTTCTCGCTCCGCCGCCTCTCGCTCGAGTCCATGGACGACCTCGACGCCTCCTCCCCCGACTTCGACGCCGCCACGCCGCACAGCCTCGCCCTCGACGCCACCCCCACCGGCCCGGACACCGCGCGCGGCGCCGCCCTGGGATCTAACCCCTTCGAGGACCAGGTGTTCGACCCCGTGCGCCCCGAGGCCGTCGAGGACCTACGCGCCATCGCCCACCGGATGGCGCGCGCGGGGTACGCCCGCGAGCTCGCTGACGCCTACTGTGCCGTCCGCCGCGACCTGCTCGACGAGTACCTCTCCGTGCTTGGCGTCGAGCGCCTCAGCATCGACGACGTGCAGCGCATCGAGTGGAAGCTGCTCAACGACAAGATGAAGAAGTGGGTGCACGGGGTCAAGACGGTCGTGCGCGTGCTGCTGGCTGGTGAGCGCCGCCTCTGTGACCATGTGCTCGATGCGTCCGATGAGCTTATGGAGGAGTGCTTCCTTGAGTCCACCAAAGGATGCATTATGCAGATTCTTAGCTTTGGGGGTGCCGTGGCGGTATGCCCCCGCTCGCCAGAGAAGGTACCTCGGATCCTTGACATGTACGAGGCACTCGCAGAGGTGATCCCTGAAATGAAGGACTTGTGCGTGGGAAGTTCTGGGGATGGTGTGATCAGTGACGTGCAAGCCATTCTTGATAGGCTTGGGGATGCTGTGAGGGGTAACCTGTTTGAGTTTGGGAAGATGTTACAGCAGGAGACCTCACGGAGGGCGATGACAACTGGAGAGATCCATCCAATGACACGCTATGTCATGAACTATTTGAGGTTGCTGGTTGTTTACAGTGAGACACTTGATGTACTCTTGGCTGATGACAGCAGTGATCATGATGCTTTCAGAAGTTCTGATGATCAGGATCAGGAACACTTGGAGAACATGACCCCTTTTGGAAGGCGTCTTCTGAAGCTGATATCTTACCTGGAGGCCAATTTGGAGGAAAAATCTAAGCTCTATGAAGATGCTGCCCTAGAGTGCATATTTGCCATGAACAATTTGCTCTATATTGTTCAGAAGGTAAAGGATTCCGAGCTAGGAAAGGTTTTGGGTGATCACTGGATAAAGAGGCGGAGTGGCAAGATTCGACAATATTCAAAGAGCTACCTAAGGCTTTCATGGACCAAGGCTTTGTCTTATTTCAAGGAAGATGGACATGGGAGTGGGAGTGGTAGTGGTAGCGGGAGTGGCAGTGGCAGTGGCAGTGGGCATTCAAGTTCGAGGATGTCCATCAAGGACAGGTTCAAGACCTTCAACATGGCCTTTGAGGAAATTTACAGGAACCAGACACTCTGGAAAGTTCCAGATCCTCAGCTCCGGGAAGAACTGAAGATATCAATATCTGAAAATGTGATTCCAGCTTATCGTGCTTTTCTGGGCAGATATGGCAATCAAGTGGACGGGGGAAGAAATCCAGGAAAATATATAAAGTACACACCAGAAGATTTGGAGAGCCAGCTATCTGATTTATTTGAGGGATCACAAGTGTCTGCCAATCACTCTAGGAGAAGAACATAGTTCATGGTTGGCAGGATCATGTTGCAGGTATGATTTTGTTGAACGGATTGATATTGATGAACGTTTGTACACATCACATCTGTTGATTGGATGCTTGTTCCCATAGTAGTCACCACAATACTGTAATACAACATGTGAACCTTTTCATATGCTTACTATTGCATAGTGTGAACGAAGAAATGCTGTACATTTATTGTCCTGTTGTTAATTGCGATCTGTGCTGACTATTTCACATTAGTCATAAGACCATTTGCCACTAGGTAGGGTACAGAGTGTCCAAGGGAACTTGTTCGGTTCGATTAATTGGGGTTGACACATTTCTTTCTTTCTTTTTTTTTTTTTTGAAAGGAAGGGGTTGCCACATTAGTCATGTGTTGTGCTGTCGCAGTCTTTTGATGATGGTGGACAAATATGTGATGCCAAACAGAAAAAGTTTATTTTTGCACCTTCAGTTTTCGGGTTATACATCTTGTACTGGCAAAGTTAAAAGAAAGTTTACGAGCTAGCTCATTCTTGACACTACCGGTAGCTCTGGCTTCATTGTTTCTTACTTGGCTTGTGACTTGTGGGCACCTTGTGCAAGGAACTCTGCCATTTAGCCTTTGATGATAAATTATTTCTCTGTTATCACTTATTACTTTTTCATAGTTTCAATTTCCATACACTGGTGTCTTATTTAGCCTATATATATATATATATATATATATATATATATATATATATATATATATATATATATATATGAGCTTGCCATTCAAAAGTTTTATTTGTGTGGTGCATGCTGCAAGCAGTGTGTTGAAGTATCCGTGGATTTCACACTTCCTTAAAATATTATGCTTTTAGGACATTGGTTATACATGTAATCAATTTGGCATAAAAAAATCAGAGGTCCTGTGTTTGAGACCTGGTTGGCCCAAATACATGGAAAACCATAATCGTGATGCTTTAAAGGGGTCTCGTCTGTTCAAAGTGACATCAAGAGGATCCCATGGATCGACATGTCCCTACCACTGTTGAGTTCAGAAATCAGAGTGCAGTTATAGTTCACTGCAGAGTGTTTTAAGTAGTAGGTTGCCTGTTTTCTTCAGCAGCTTAAACTTTTGAGGAACGGGTGAATGCTTTAAAGTCAACTCTATGTAGATGGTACCTGAATGACTGAATCACCATTGCATGCCATAGGGGGCTAAACACTAAGATGGAATTATAGGTCTCCATTCAAAAGTTCTTTTACACGATAGTGCATACCAGAGGGGGCTAAACGCTGAGATGGAATTATAGCTTTCCATTCAAAAGTTCTTTTACACAATAGAACTCCCCAACTGCTGATTGCTTTTGCCCAAACATGGCTTTTGTATTACAAGTTACAACATGCTCCACATGCGAATTGGAAATTATACTATAGTAGTATCGTATTTGAATCTTGTTTTAGACAAATTTTTGTCCAATTTGAACAAATTTTTATATTATCTCCAATTTGAACAAATTTTTGTCCCAAGTGTTGTAATTGGTAACTTTGATCAAGCATTGTTGCATCACTAGTGGAACACCTGTCTTACTAATATCCTGATAATATATATGTACCTTGCCTCTTAGTAAAATTGTTGAGGTTCAGTATACACTCTTGGACAGTAGACACTTATTATGCATAGCATGTTTGCTCGTATCAGCAAATGAGGTTCCTCCGTCTCCGATGTTTCTCTTCACCAGTTTAAAACATCCTGCTGCATTTGGCAGCACTATCCAAGTTAGATATTAAAACCATGTCTAAATAGTAAATACACCAAACATTAAAAACATGGTACAATCTCATTAGACACTATTACTGTAAGAAAGGGAAATAATCCTGTAAAATTCAGATCTGATACTTGACTTAAATTGTTAAAGCTTGGATGGATGTCCAAAATTTTCTTTAGTTGCTGGTTTTTTCAAATATACAAAATAGTTAGCCAAACGAATCCTGAACTTAAACTTTGCGATCATAAGTATAGAAAGGAAAATAGACAAAGGAATTGGGAAGTTTTTTTCCCCTTTTGGAGTTCACGAATCGGGAAAATTTGTAGCATAAGTATAGAAAAGAAAACAATTAATGAGCTGTTGACCTCTCTGTCCAAAGAAGCCTACTAGAACCTGGTACTGGAACAACAAATACTAGATGGGACAATTGCACATTCACACAGGTTATCTAAGATCCATTCCAAACATACATTTATGTGAAGACAATTTAAAACTAGAGCATGTTAATGCCAGTCTACCATACAATCAATAGAATACTAGTGGTTACTATTGGGGTTCTAATGGGTACAGGTTGCAGCATGTTGATTGCCCAAATATCAAATAGATCAACAATTCAACATAAGTGTATGTGTCCTGTGCCATTATACAAATGTGAATTTGTGTTCTCATGTACATCCTATGGAGCATCCGAGCATGCGTGCATGGTGCTTGATATCAGCTTTCTGACATCATACTAGGACAAAGAAAAAGGTATCATGTTAGCCTCCTGTGGGTCTTCTTTCCCATTTGCCATCAACTAGTTTCTGATTTATTGTTTAAGCTTTCCACATGCATGTAATCTATAAGCATATGCCTTAGTTATGCTGCTAAATTTGTACATACTGAAAACAAGTCTGTCAGCCACATTTGAAAGGGTCTGTATATGTGTCATTGGTGAATACTTGTGCCTTTTCTGGTGCATCATAGGTCAACTTGTAATTTGGTGCTCCCTTTGTATCATTTATAGTATTGGTTGTTTTCGTTGAGCTTTAACAAATGATTCCTTAAGTAATGTTTAGTTGATTCTGTCAAAAGAAAATGTACTCTTAATTTCTGCCTTTTGCTTGTAGCAGTAAGTGATTTCCTATGTTTTCACATTGGCTGGTTTCTACTGTTAACTATATTTGTGATATTTTCTTGGACTACTGTGTTTTCTGTTTTTTCAATTTGTCAACGTATTTTGTGGGGGAAAATGCTGTCGACTGTTTATTGTATATTATATTGCAATATTTATGATGATGCCGAACGATGTACCTGTAACCTGTAAGGCATTTTGGTGGAAACCTGAAGTACCCCTTTTGCTAGTGAGGTCATAGCATTTTTTTGGAAACTTGAAAAGCATGGTTTATGCATCAAATCGACTTCCAAATTCCTAAACCATATCAACGGCATATATGGAGTACTGCATCTATAGCAATTTTGCCATAAAGTTCTGGATTGGGTTCAAGTTTTCACTGAAAAACAATTGGACTAGATATTCCCATATATCACCTGTATTGACTTGCTTGAAATTGAGATTGCTACCTGCCCTCTGGTTATGCTGCATATTGAATATTTGAAGGTACCATTTTTGTCAACCTGTCCATGTATTACTTTCTAGTTTTGAAACTTGGGACGAAATAGGGCGCTGGAACAAATATCTGAGTTAATGGCATATTTTTTTTTTCGAAAACCTGGCAGGAGCATTGTCTCTCAATTAAGGAAGCAAAGAAGTTTATATGTACAGGAAGGTCCAGTAGACCGGAAAGTCCCACCGGACACACAGAAAAAAGAAGACACCGAGCACATCCCCCAACGGGGGTTAAACAGAGAATGGGTAAGTCGGGTTGTTAAGGACCCTAGAGCGCGTATCTATGTCCAACTTGGCTTTGAGGGCCACTTGTCGAGCATCTATGGACCCTAGAGCGCGTATCTATGTCCAACTTGGCTTTGAGGGCCACTTGTCGAGCATCTATAGTCATGCCTGGGAAAATCCTTCTATTTCTTTCCTTCCAAATGTTCCACATCGTGTAAATCACCACCTCGTAAAGTGTCGTCGTCGTTCCCTTGGGACTTTGGGTGCCGCTTCTTTCCACCATGCTCTTATTTCTTTTGGTTGGATCTGAGGCTGGATTAAGTCTGTTACAAAGTGCTCCCATGGCAACACAAGGTTCCAGACCTCTGTAGCAAAAGGGCATAGCAGGCAGAGGTGAAGGTTGGATTCCAATGGCCCATTGCACATGACGCAGTGATCTTGATGAGGTCAATTTTTTAGTTGCAAATTATCTGTAGTGAGGATTTTGTTCTGGATAAGGATCCATGCAAAGAACATTTATTTATTTTATGTGTGCGCTTTCCAAATAAGGTTTGGACGGAATTTTCTGAAGCTCTTCTAGAACTGAATTTGGTACGCCGAGGGAGTTGAGTATTTTTCATCAGGCGTCCATTTACTCTTACAAAGTGTACTTATCCTTCATCTTTGTTTCCTGGAGAATCTGTCTGAGGTTAGAGGCGATCCACACTTTCCTGAGTAGCACTGTTGCATTGGGCCCTCCATTGTGGAAACACCCTGTGGACAATGCACGTCATGCTTTTTAAATGTGGACCCCTTAGATTTGTTTGCTTTCTTGTAAAGAGCTTTTATCAAGGCCGACAGATGTGAAATGCTGCATTGTTCGAAGGCATCGTAAAACCTCTTTGACAGAGATTGAGTGGTTAGATATTCTCGAATCTCGACAGCTTTGGCGTGCCTCCTCTTAAAGCGTCTTGATTTCACATGTGTGAGTGCTCAGGCACTTCGTTCCTTTCAAATAAAGGAAAAGGCCAGCATTTTCAGCAGGAAGAAACATGTTTTGCAAAAATCTTGATCATTTCTAACGTTAGTGTACTATGTGAAAGCAAGGTGGGTCGTGCAATTGTACAGTTAGTATGTTGTCCAATTCTTTATGCAACTTATTTTTAATTTTACTACATTCTACATTGCTAGTTGTTCCATCACGGGCGCTACGTCATGTTATGCTTTGACAACACCAAGCCCTTTATTATTCGCCCTGTTCGCTTGGCTTATAAACCGGATTTTTTCAGTTAACGAATAATATTTTTCTCTCACAATAAATTAGCCAACAGTACTTTCAGCTATGAATTATCAGCCAAGTGAACAGGGCAATTGTTATTGCTACAAGTAGTTGTTCCACTACCTTCGCGCTATGTCTTAATTTATTGCTCTGACAACACCAAGACCTTGAGCTGTATGTATAGAGGGTTATGCCTAGTGCAGTTGCTCATCAGCCTGTTCGTTTTGGTTTATACGATTGTGGATTATAAGCTGGAACAGTATTTTTCTCTCACATCAAACCAACCAGCAGTACTTCTGGCTTATAATCCACGATCGTTTCAGCCGAAACGAACAGGCTGCATATCCTCCATCAGGACGTCCTCAATGTCAACTTATAAATAGCTATCTAGATAAAGCTTAGAAATAATAAACAAAAGAACACTGTAGTGGAGGTTCGTGTGAGTTGTGAGAGAGTTGTTTCTAAGAGATCACGTTAGACTAGCTATTTAAAGTCGTTAGCTGTTTGATCTCTCTCCTTGACAGTCAATAGAATTCTTTCCTAAACTAGCTATTTGAGGACCATTGAGGACGCCCTTATTCACTCATATATTGTGCTTTGCAAATTAATGGTTTCATCAAAAAAAAAATTGTCATTGCTAGATATCACACTTTTAGACCTAGTTTCGTGGAACTCTGCCTAGCTTTTTCGTGTACTCTAGTAAGACTCATTTTTATCTCTATTCTTAAAATGAACTATGAGCTGGTGAAGCTATTTTTTGATTTCACTGGCCCTGACTCTCGTAGCAAGGGCATGTTTAGATGGCGAAATTTTTTGCAAAATGCACTGTGAGCACTTTTCGTTGTTATTTGGTAATTAGTGTCTAATCATAGTCTAATTAGGCTTAAAAGATTCGTCTCGTGAATTTCGTCTAAACTGTGTAATTAGTTTTATTTTTTATTTATATTTAATACTTCATGCATGCGTCCAAAGATTCGATGTGACGGGGAATCTGAAAAAATTGACAAAATTTTCTGGAACTAAACTGGACCCAAGGAGCTGAAGCTAGACAAACAACACCGTATCAAGCAGATCCTTACATTTGTCACAATCTCCATGGGTTATGTCTTACCTACTCCCTCAGTACAGAAAAGAATGTAAGGTTTGACTTTAGTCAAAATTTGTTAGTTCGACCAAATTTACAAAAAATATATCAATATTTACATCTTTGAGAACATGTTTACTATAAAAATATACTTCATAATTAATCTAATTATATCTATTCAGTATTATAAATAGTTGTATTTTTTAGACCTTGAGAATTAGTGTTGATGCTCATTTTGTTGGATAAAAATTAGTTAATATAATCAATTTAGGAATGTGGAAAAATATGGGCATCCTAAAACACGACATGGATTGGAAACCCATAATTTCATTTAGTGTTCAGTTAACTTTTATAACCGTCAAGTCATACATCGGACTTGATCACACCAATTCTCCTCCCATAAAAAAAGGAGCACGAGACCATCATTCTTCTCACATTCAAACGAACACTCCCAAATTAAAGTAAGAATCCAAGAAACAAACTCGATTTCTTGTCACTTATTCTAATTTGAAGTAAGTAACTACACCCTGACCCCGACAGAAGTTGATCTTCCTTGATTAATTATTAGATGAACCATTAAGATTGGCATGCAATGCGAGTGGGATATAGACATTCAGGCGCCCCTCTCCAGCATCTCGCAGAACCTCTTGAAGGACTCGAGCTTCTGCAGCATCATCTGCTCGTGGAACCGCCTGATGAAGACGTCCGCCACGCGGTCGATCTCGTCCTCCAGCCGGAACTCGCCCTCCGCCGCCGACCCTGCAGGAGCGGCGACGGCGGCGTCGTCCACGGTAGCAAGATGCTTCTCGCCTGCTGCTGCTGCTTCCACCACGTCCTTGTCCTCGTTGGCGCCCGCCGCAGGCGGCGGCGTTCCGTTCCAGCGCGAAGCTCGGCAGGCTGCTGAGCAGGACGACCGCCCTCGCCTCCTGCTCCACAGCGAAGCTCGGCAGGCTCTGCAGCAGCGCGGCCTTCCTGGCGCCGCTGCTGGCTAGGAACAGGCGCTCGCTCTCGCCGCCGCCGCCGCCGCGGCTGGCGCCCACCGCATTGCTGCTGCTGTGGCTACTACTGCCTCCCATGATGGCGTGGATCTTGCTCTGGATGGCGCTGAGCAGGAGCTTCTTGTTGCGCGTGATGCCGAGCACGATGAGGCGCGTCCGCAGGGAGCTGGCCTTGATACCCATCACGGCGGTGGACCTGGCCTTCACTGCCGCGACGATGGAGGAGAAGAGCTGCTTCAGGTACCTGGACGCCTTCTTCATCTTCCAAATGGAATAATGGGCCAAGAAATGCTCTACTAATAATATGATTAACTAATGAGAGATCAAGCTAGCTGCTGTCGATCGATTGCTTTTGCTTGCTACAATGGGAAGTGGCTGGCTAATGAAGTGTGTCAAGTGTGCATGCATGCAACGCAAGGACCGGACCTGCTTTGTGTTTTGGCATGGAGTTTGGTCTGAAGGGTTTCATGGGTATATATAGGCCGCCAACCTCCTTGCTAGAAAGTTCTAAACTCTAGGTGTAGATCTAGCGGGTAAAACAAACATCTGTTGGTGTACTTTAGTAGCTAGTGCGCCCGCAGCGATCGGAGATAAAGTGCAGTCGCAATCCCTACGGCGACGCGAGGTACAGCGTCCCAATGGTGGCACTGCAGGGGCAACGGTGAGGTTGGTGGCGGCGAAGTCAGTGGGTCTTCCCGTTGCTGGCAGCACTCACTTTGGAACAGGTTAGGTTTTCTGTTGGTGGGTCACGGCGGCTCCGGTCAACCTCGTAGTTAGAGCCCTGATCCTCACCTTTCTTTATAGTGCTGTGCGACAGGGGCCCACCAACCATATTAGGGTTGGGCGCCCCCGATCAGGGCGTATATCCAAGGGCCTATGGGCCTATTGGTGGATATCAACTAACATTCTCCCCTTGATCTCACTACCATCTTTTAATTTCATATCATTTACTTTTGTTCATTCTATTACAGATTAGTGCATAGAGCATGTTTCATCGTCACGGTCAATTGTCGATAGATTTAACAGCTACAACACACCACTCTGTTCTGAAATAGATACTTAACTTTGTGCCTTCTTTTGTCCAGGAATTATAGGCTTTCCCTTAAACCCATGCTAGCTACATGGTCTCTGAACACGTTGGGTGATAAGCCTTTTGTAAGCGGATCCGTGAGCATCTTTTCGGTACTTATATGCTCAAGATTTATGGCATGATCCCGGACTTTATCTTTCACAACATAATACTTTATGTCAATGTGTTTGGCGGCACCACTTGACTTATTGTTGTGAGTATACTGTACTGCCAGATTATTATCGCAGTATAACTTAAGTGGTCTATAGATGTCGTCAACCACCTTCAAATTGGGTATGAACTTCTTTATCCAGTTCACCTGCCTCGTTGCCTCATAACACGCTACAAACTCGGCATACATTGTGGACAATGTAGTGACGGTTTGCTTTGAGCTTTTTTATGAAATAGCTTCCCCTGCAAGAGTGAATACATATCCAGACGTGGATTTTCTATCATCTTTCGCATAATTAGAATCTAAATATCCCACTATATGGAGTGAATCAGATCTTCTATACGTCATCATGAGGCTTTTCGTTCTTTGCAAATAACGCAAGACTTTCTTTACTAATTTCTAGTGTTCTGTTCCAGGATTGCTCTGGAATCTGCCAAGTAACCCGGTAACAAATGCCAAGTCAGGGCATGTACATACTTGAGCATATTGCAAGCTTTCAATAGCTGAAGCATATGGAACCGCTTTCATTTGATCGATCTCATATTGGTTCCTAGGGCATTGAAAATCCCCATATATGTCGCCCTTGACTATAGGAGCTGGTGAGGGACTACATTTGTGCATACTGAATTTCTTTAAGATCTTTTCTATGTATGCCTTTTGTGACAGTTCTAATACCCCTTTACTTCTATCTCGGTGAATCTCGATCCCTAGAATGAATAAGACTTCACCAAGATCTTTCATATCAAATTTTGAGGACAAAAACTTTTTGTCTCCAGTAGTAGACTGACATCACTACTAGCAAGTAAGATATCATCCACATATAGGACAAGGAAGATAAACTTCCCATTCTTAAACTTTACATAGACACAATTGTCCTCTACATTCTCTTTAAACCCAAAATTCTTTATTATCTGATCAAACTTCAAGTACCACGGTCTTAAAGCTTGTTTTAATCCATAAATGGATTTCTTTAGGCGGTATCCCATTCGTTCTTTTCCTTCCATGACAAAACCTTTCGGTTGTGCCATGTAAACATTTTCCTCCAAATCCCCGTTGAGAAATGTCGTCTTTACATCCATCTGATATAATTCTAAATCATAATGTGCCACTAATGCCATTATGATTCTAAAGGAATCCTTACATAAGACTGGAGAAAAGTCTCATTGTAATCAATCCCTTCTCTTTGCGTAAAGCCTTTTGCCACAAGTCGTGCTTTATATCTCTTTATATTCCATTGAGAGCCAAGTTTTGTTTTGTAGATCTATTTATAACCTACTGCTTTTGGCTCTTTTAGGAATTATTTCTAAGTCCCAAACTTTATTAGCATTCATAGATTTCATTTCATCTTCTATGGCCTCAAGCCACTTTGATGAATGATCACTTCTCATGGCTTCTTCAAATGAGGTGGGATCATCCTTCATTTGAAATTTCTCAGTGTTGTATACTTCATAGTCAGCAGGAATAGCTGTTTTTCTAACTCTTTGAGACCTTCTAGGGGCCTCCACATTTGGCACATCTTCTGTTTGAGACTGTTGTTGCTCCCCCTCATGTATGGCAATAGGTTCTACAGGATCCTAAAGAATAGGTTCCTCATCATCATTCATTGTTGCCACAGGTGGAATAACAACAGGTGCTGGCACCACAATATCTTGCACTGTCGATGCAGCGACAGCAGGTAGTGAGAAAAATAGCTCATGAATCATCGGAGTGGGCGCATACACCCGCTTCTCTTCAAGGTCAATTTCTCGAGCTACCATGCTCCCCCTCATCATTTCATCCTCTAAGAAAATAGCGTGTCTTGTTTCTACAAACTTTGTATGTCTGTCTAGACAGTAGAAACGAAAACCTTTTGACTTTTCTGGGTAACCAATGAAATGACAACTTACTGTTTTAGGATCTAGCTTCCCAATATTTGGGTTAAATACTTTAGCCTTAGTAGGACTCCCCCACACATGTAAGTGGTTTGGTGAGGGTACTCTTCCTGTCCACAACTCATACGGTGTTTTGGGCACCGACTTACTTGGTACTCTATTGAGAATATGAATGGTAGTTTTTAACGCCTCCATCCACAAGCTCAATGGTAAGGTGGAGTAACTTATCATACTGCGCACCATATCCATCAGGGTATGATTGTCTCTTTCAGCTACTCCATTCTGCTGAGGTTCGCCCGGTGTAGAATACTGGGCTACTATGCCATTCTCCTGTAAGAACCTTGCAAAAGGTCTAGGAACTTAGCCATATGGGGTATGCCGACCGTAGTACCCCCCACGGTTAGACCTGACTATCTTAATCTTTAAATTATGTTGGTTTTCAACTTCTGCCTTAAATATCTTAAATTTATCCAATGCTTCTGTTCTTTCTTTGATTGTATAAATGTAGCCATAACGGGAGTAATCATCTGTGAATGTTATGAACGAATCATAACCATCCACACTCTTTATAGGAAACAGACCACAAATGTCTGTGAATAATCTGTAAAATTTCTACGCTTCGTTTGGCATCTTTCTTAATTTTCTTTACATACTTTTCTTTTATGTATTCTCTGCATTGTTCTAAATATGAGAACTCTAATGGAGGAAGAATATTATTCTTAACTAGTCTTTCTATTCTCTCCCTCGAAATATGGCATAAACTACAATGCCATAATTTTGATGACGCATCGTGAGCTCTCTTATGCCACCATTTCCAGAGTAATTCTCTGTCACCAGCTGCTTTATCAGCTGGGGTAGCATATGTCTTTGAAGAGCCAGTGAACTGACTCTTTATTCTATCGTGGTACTCGGTGACCGTGTCATACTCTAGGATTGAGCCCACAATTGCAAGCTCAATCATGTTCTTTATCACAGCCAAACTATTTTTTGTTGGAAGTGACCCACTTCCTATGCTCAAGATCATAGGATATCTTTTGGGATTCAAAATCCCTCTCTTTAGTTGCCCAAGCGGCATCAGCCTCGTTTATCTCCCTCACTGGTGCTACAGGCTCAGTGGGACACGGTGAGGTGATGACCTAGTCCACCTCAGCCAAGATGAAGGCCAGGATCAATCTTTTTTTTCCACTCCGTGTAGTTGTCACCTTTGAGAGTGGGGATCTCTTTGATAGAACCCATCAAGTTGTATTCGCCTGGCAACACAATTCATATAGAGTGAGAACATAAATAATAACAACAATTGCATGCTTTGATTCAAACGTTGGTCAAAATTAAAACATACAATTGTTCTTATACACTAATTCTACATCACCGTTGGACAAAAATAGAATTAATGCATAAAATTATTAAAATTATGATATTGTTATTAACAACGTTGGTTAGAAAATAACAACATCATAATCATGTCAAAATCTCTTTTTCTCCAATTAAATATCACATTGGTTGATTACGATATTGTTATTAACAACGTTGGTCAGAAAATAACAACATCATAATCATATCAAAATCTCTTTTTCTCCAATTAAATATCACGTTGGTTGATTACGATATTGTTATTAACAACGTTGGTCAGAAAATAACAACATCATAATCATGTCAAAATCTCTTTTTCTCCAATTAAATATCACGTTGGTTCAAAATAACTGGAGAATAAACAATTTCTTTAGCAGCGGAAAAATAATCTCAATTTAGTGAATTTTACCCACAGGAAAAATCACTTTTCATATTTTCTTTAAGTCATTTATCCATTTTCCAGGAAATAAAACCTTTCTGGAAAATAAAAAAGAAAAATGACTCCTTCGCTTGGGCTCAAAATCTGCAACAGCTCCCCCAACTATGCTCTCAGGTAGGCCTGTCTCTCTCTCTCGCGCGCGCTGCCTTCCCAGGCCGGAACGTGGGCCTGGATCGGCAAAGCCATGCGGCCGCCAGCGCCCGCCTGGGTTGGCCTCCGGTCCAGCTACTCTCCGCCGTCGGATTGAATCGGACGACCGAGCGGCCGTTTCGGTCGATCAAAACCAGCGCCGCGTCGGCTCCCCCCTAACCCTAGCCCATTCCCTCTTCTCCCTCTTCTCCCTCTCAGCGCCGCGTTGAC